ATTTGCCACCAGAGGAACGATAAGGGACAGTGCTAACACTATTTTACCAATGCTGTTGAAACATGATCCCTACCTAGCTACCTCCATAGAGTCTGTGTCAAAACTAGTGTCATTGCTCCGATGCCATTTATTGGCCCCGGTACCCGGCTGTGCTGCCTACCTTTATGAAGCAGGAAAAGAGAGTCCAGTAGAACTTTTGATTGCCTACCTGGAATGGGGGACAATAGTTGAGTAAACTTTTGGCTCTCAAAATGGTATCGGTGCTCTATTTGTTGGTACTCGCCATTACCGATACCACCATTTTGGTGCTGGATCGGGGCCCCACCTTATACCATACTGGTATTGGTATCAGTGCAACACTAGTTAGAACTACTTGACAGTGGCTATTCAGGCACCAGCATTGTGGCAGAGGCAGACACCTCCAATCAAGGGTGTTTGTGGGTATTAGCAGGCCTGACAGGAACTCAAAGCAGCAGCCGATGGGGCAAGAAATCCTCCAGACGCGACGGAGGCGCCATACTCTTCCAGAACGATTCAGCAAACCATGACCCACAGGGTAGAGAGACCAACCGAGAAACACCAGGTAGCGAGAGGTGTAGCACCTTATTTAGGGAGGAAAGACTGGCCTAGGATCAAGATGCATGGAAGACCATTGAGGATGATCTATTTCATAGGGAGGAGTGCATAAAAAAAAAAGTGGTTGAGGACTTGGTACAGGGTGGTAGAGGAATAAGGACCAGTTTATCGTCTTAAAGATTGGCCATCTGATCTCAGGACCTTAGTTTCTACCAACCAATGAGAATCAGCAGGTGAATGGTTGGTCTGAGCAGGTGCCTTAAAGCAGGTTAAGTTTGCCAGTGAAGCGTTGCCTCCTGCTGTGAAGAGGATCTATTGGACTTAAGGATTTTCTCCGCTTGTCTGGTCTGGTTTCCCCTCGGTTGGTCCTCGGTTTGGCTTCACAGATTCCCCTCTTCTGGTTGACTCTTTCAGGCCTTTAATATTCTTTCAGATTCAAAAGTCTGACTTCTATCCTTTAACATCGTCTTTATCAACACAACAGAAGCTGTTTTCCTGGAAAAGCCATTAGGCTGACCTCTCTGAACTGGATTGAGATTTAATTGAACTGAAACTACTTTTTTGTCCCCAGGGGCAAAGAAACTTGCATGAGCCGCACTCATCACAAAAACAAACACTAAGACATTAACAGAGTTACATCAGGCAGCACGATTTATCCCCCAAAACAAACAGCAGTAACACTTTATTATAAGGTAAACAACAATTGACAACGTTCTAGAGAACGGCCAGGAAACTTATCAAGAATTAATGGCTGGTTAACAGGTAATTACTAGGGCACAACCCAGTCTTAATATGGGATTACTGCACTAATGACTAGTTACTAAGAAAACAAAGAGTAACTAATAAGGAACTAATGAGTAGTAACTAAGGAAACAAGTAGTTGATAATAAGGAACTAATAGCCATGGAACTAAAGAAGTTACTAAGGAAATAATAACTACCTTAGGCAAGGCAAAGGAAGTTTATTTGTATAGCAAAAATCAGTACATGCACAATTCAAACAGCTTTACATGAATTAAACAACATCTAATACTGATACCCAATCAGCACCTGGCCATCAGCTAATGTTTTTTTGGTTACACTAAAATAAAGTGAACCTACCCTTTAGATCCTGCTTAGATACTCTGTGTTTCCCCTAGACTTAGACTTTTCATGATAGGTTTCAAAGTTTGCCCACATGCAGAAACTACTCAGAGGCAAGGTAAAAGTTAAACAGTTTATTGTATGGTGTGGAACTCAGAGAGACAAAAAACTGTGGAACTCAGAGAGACAAAAAACTGTGGAACTCAGAGGGACAAAACAAAGGGGATTTTCAGCATAGGGAACATCCAGCGGTCAGGTGAACCAGAACCGGAAACTCTAGAGGGAGGTCAGAGTGGTGAGTTCAGGGTCCATAAGGAAAATAAGCCAATGCAGATGAATAGCAGAAATGGACTCACAGTAATAGTTTGTGGAAGTTCCTTGGTTCCTGTTTGTGTGGGAGGTTGTCCTGATGTGGATATAAGTTAGTGGAGCGCGGACAAGCAGACTTATTGTGGTCCAGAGGAGCAGCGGACTGTCACAAGCTTACATGAAGAGGTCTGTGAACTGGTCAGGTGAATGTTTTCCCTTTTCTCAGTGAGACAAATTGATTCCTTCCAAGGTTTGAAGGATGGGGCTTTTCCAGAGGATCAGGTGATAATCCTGCCGGAGATCACTAAAAGAGAACAAAGGGTTAGAACCTTGGACTCAGAGAGTCAAAAACTCAGCTAATCTCAGAGAGGCTAGAGTAACCAATACTGGCAACCACTCTGGCGAGGAGATGGTGACAGTCTGCTGCTCGTATACTGCTCAGACGGTGGTGACCAACGAGCTGCAGGTGTGAGTTGTAGAGAGCAGGAACAGACCCTCCAGGCCAACAGAGGAACAATGGCACCATCTGGTGGATGCATGGAGACACTGAAAAAGAACAAAAACAACCCCCACAAGACAAGACTTAGACAGATTTATTTTGTCAATTTTTTTATACACAAATGTATACAAAAATTAATTCTGTTTAAAACAGCTCTAGACAATTTCATTTTTTAAAGTGAAGCCTTGAAAAACAGTAATAAATACATAAAAAAATAGTAATATAATCATATAACTTTATTTATAGTTCTAACACTATATATATTTTTAAATAGAATAACCCATTTTACACAACAGTTCATCAGTGCCAGGCTCAGGTGGAGAGCAGCAGGTCAGGTTACTAAGCAATAGTCCCATTAAAAGGCTGCGCTGGGTGTTCCCCAGCAGGCACTGGCTAACTTCCTGTTAGTTCCTCAGGTCTTATCAAGGAGTTGATCAAGTTGTGTATACCTTAGCATTACCAAATGATCCTATATGCAGGGGTCTGCACATCTTTGGCCAAGGTTTGCTGCCGGCTGCCCTTCCTAATGCAGCCAGAGTCCAGCATAACATCCTTATCCAAATAATTTATTTCCCTTCTCATTGACTTTCATACAATCATACATAGATACAGATTCAGTCTTATTTGAAAGCCATCCTATTCTCGTCAAAGGTAGTTTTATAGAGTGTCTTTGTATGAACGCATGTTTTTGAATATATTGCAGTCATTTAGCAGGAAATGTGCTATTTCCACAGAAAACAATTTTGCTTGACTTAGTTCATTTAAACCATTACACAAGTATTTTGATGCTTCCCAGTTTAAAAGCCTCTTTAATTGAACTGTAGCATTTCACCCATACTTATTGATGCCTTGCTTTGCTTTTAGCATAATGGAGAAAAGAGACAAGAAGAATGAATGTCCTCTATGAAAAACTCCAATTGAGCTGCTTCTGGAGGCTATGCTTGTTTGATCATGAACTTCAGTTCTTATGTTTGTGGAATAAGGTTTTGTTGTCATGATGCTTCACCATAGTAACCACAGAAAGGTTTTTTTGATAATTAGGAACAACTGATATACATCTCAAAAGTGAAATATTATTTTAAATATTTGCTTTAGTTCCTATTCTTTTTTAAATGCATAGAAAGCAGAGCAGGAACAAGGAGATGAGAGAGAAGGAAGAAAATCAAGCCATCACTTCCATCAATTGAGCAGTATTATGTGTTTCACTGAAGCTTATGATGTGAGACGTCAGTATCGGCCATATAAATACTTTCAGAAGTCCTCGATTCTGAAAGTATAAGCAGAAAGAGATAGAAATAGGCTGAGATATCAAGCATCCATCCTGTACTTTTAGATCCATCCTCGGTCCAACACACCTGAATAAAATGGTGGAATGACCTCCTCAGGATGCAGTCAGTTCCTCCAGAGTCCTCTCAATCATCTAATTACTTGATTCCGGTGTGTCGAACCAAAGGCACATCTAAAAGTTGCAGGATACCGACGCTCAGGAACTGGAATTGCCCACCCCTGCGCTAAAGCATTACCCTCCTCTTGAATGACTTGGGTGGTTTGTCTGCATTTTACTCCTTTCTGGGCCTAAACTTTGAGTAGATCATAGTGACTAAGGCTCTGTTCACACCGCAGCCTGAAGTGACCCAAATCAGATTTTTTTGGCCCATATGCAACCTGGATCTGATCCTTTTATAACTGTCTGAACAACACGGATCTGATTTTTTCCAGTGCGACCCAGGCCACTTCGCTATGTGTTCCTGAATCCGATAGGGACCTGTTCTTTTCCAATGCGATCTGCGTCTGAACAGCCAGGTCGGATTCATCCGACCTGAACGCCATTAATACCCGACAAAAGGTCACTATTCTGCATCTTGCCATGAAGAAGCGGCAAGAAAAACAACAACCATGGCAGAGGATGATGTGGAGAGCAGTGTCTGTGTTTAACCATCTTGAAAAGATTACGTTTTTAAGCTTGGGAAAGATCGCTAGATGCGCTCCGGCGCTACCATCCACGTTTACTTCTGTAAACACAGAGCCACTGGCCTGTGACATCATGGCGTCCTCTACTGCGCATTAAGGAACTTGCGTCGTATGACTGCAGTTCACACAGGAGATCACATACAAGTCGCATATATTTGGAAATGTGAACGGCAACGCAAAAAAAAAAATCGGATTTCACAAATAAATCTGAATTGAGCATTAAAGCCTGCAGTGGAACGTAGCCTTAGATGCTAATTGTCAGTCAGAGTGGTGGGGACCTCATGTCCGTGGTAGAGAAGGCAAAGAAATTGTAAATTATATAATTTATTTTTCTGATATGGCTTTAACTTTGCTTCAATGTCTTGACCTTCATGTGTGACTTGGTTCCTCCCAGATTCCAGACAGATCCAGTCTTCTCCATCTTGGAGCTACGATCAGTCGTATCCTTACCTCGGCCAGATCACTACTCCAGCTGTTCACACAGCTGGTCCACTTTCACCTGCTCGCTCCTCTTTTGGTGAGCTTTCCTCAAGGCTTTCAGGTAAAGCCTCATCCAACCGTCTGAGTTTAGACGAGCTTAAACCAATCAATGACCTTTGTTGTTGTTTTTCACGTAGGTTCGGACCTCGCGGCCTTTGGTGATCCGCGGATGGCTTTGGAACGGCCGTTCAGTTCCCTCCCCTCCCTGCCTGAATCCCGTTTCTCCAACACTCGGGTGCACTACCCTCCTACAGGAGCCGCATTCACTTACACTCCAACACACAACCCGGTCTCTAACGGCGCTATCAGCATCACCATGGCCACCGCCATGGCGTCCACCCAAACAGGACGGTACCACACCTACCTGCCTCCACCTTACCCTGCCAACGCCCCTCACCAAGCTCAGAACGGGCCGTTCCAGTCCACTTCGTCCCCCTATCATCTGTACTACTCCACCACCACCGGCTCGTACCAGTTCTCTATGATGGCCGGGGGAGGGGCCAACAGTGACTCGCACTCTCCGCCTCGTATCTTCCCGCCTTGCACCACTGCCTCCACGGGGTCTTCTCTTCTACACCCTTCTTTGCCCAATCAGAACGAAGGAGTAGGTGTGGAGGTGGAATCCAGCCACAGTAGCTCGCCAACAAACATGGCTGCGGCTGAAGCCGTATGGAGACCGTACTGACTCACCTCTCTGCCGAGAGCGGATTCACCTACATTAGTGCTTCGAGTCTTCACAACATTTACGTTTTTCAGTCGAGGGAGCAAAACCAAAGTCTTTCACTCTGTGACATGGAGTCCACTCCAGCTTTTAATGTTTCTGGCTTCCTCTTGTTAGAACCAACTATTCTGATCCGTCTTCTGAAAACGTCGCAGAATGGCTGAGACTTCTTAAAACGGTTGGATCTGCTAAGGAAGAGGCTCATTGAAGCAAAATGTGTTGTTGAACTCAGAAAAACCTGGACTTTGGTGTCTATGATTAGTATGGAGAGATTCTCCAGTTGGTTCCGAAGACGAAAAACACGAAACGGGGGGACGGTGGAAGCAGCTACCCTCTGGTTCACTGTGTGTTTTTATTACCATTGAAACGACACACCAGCTTGTTCAAACTAGTCACTAAATGAAGTGTTTTAGAAGTTTCTTAAAAAAATAAAAGAGTTTTACTTCACACACATCCAGATCCAGTGTCTGAGTGAAAAGGGTAAGTCGTTGTTTGGGTCTAGACCTGGGAAAGCCGAGGCCAGACATCTGTGGACGCTTCCCTAATGTTCCAGGTAAGTCCCGCCGGGAGGAGGCGAAGAGGACGGCCCAGCGTCTCTGGGTTGGAGCTGTAGGAGAGGGAAGTCTCTGCTCAGCCTGCTGCCTACATGACCCGGTCCTGATAAGGATCATTTTTATCAAGCTGCAACTCTCAATTTATTATTTGTGTTATTTTATAACTACCTGATAAAAGCTGATTCTTATTTTCTTATATTCATAATAATCAGATATTTAATCATTTTAGTTATTGGTACGGATAATTGATAAACAGTCTAATTTTAACCAAATATTTATATTAATGATGAGTCAACCGTGAGTCAAAGAGGGTAGGACTTGGAGACAATCACTGGAGCTTTCAGTGTAAAACCATGAGAAATGAAAAAAGTATGAACTAAATGACTCCAATCAACTTACGATTGAAAACAAAGTCTTGAGCCGGGCACACACTGTGCAATATTTTTAATCGTTGCACGCAGCTACAGATCAAACTGTACGACAAAGTTCACAGCTTACGATGTTTGTTCTCACACTGTACGTCTAGAAACCATGTCGGACTCAGCGCCGAGAGATGGCGCTGGTCGGACTTGTAAATCTGGAAGAAAGTAGAAGAAGAGCTCCCTTGTTTGCGCAAGTGCGGTTCTCAAAGTTCTGGTAAATCGGCGCGTAGCTCTGCTTCAACAGCAGGATTTACCCACAACCACCTTAAGACGGCCGACTGAAATTCAAACATGTTTTATTTTCTCACGACCTTACGATTCCTGATGGGGAGGTGGTTGTGAGAGGCTGATCGCCCCTTGTTACTCCCTGTATACTACACCACGCAGGATGCACGATCAGGAGTAGAGAATCGGCCCGAAAAAGGCAGAACATCGTACAGTGTATGCCCGGCTTTGGAAAGGTGCGAGTCCTCTCCGTAACCATTGGAATTCCATGAAACATCCAGCCATCTTCTCCCACTTAGTCCTTGTCTGGGTCGCGGTGGGGCGGTACTTATCTCTGGCTGACTATAGGCAAGAGGTGGGACACACCCTGGACAGATCGCGAGTCTGTTGCAGGGAAAAACAGAGACACATCCATTTACGCACGCACTCAAGGGCTGGTTATCCGCCCGCAGCAGTGTGTTGCAGTATTGAAGCGTGGTCTGCCCTATGTTGTTCCACGCTACAACGCCAAAGGGACAATCAGGAACTAGCTGTGGGTCTAGATACGGCCGAGGTGGTGAGGAAGTGGGGGAGGCTTGTGTGACAACGGAGGGACATGAGGGCGAAAAAGAGCGGGGATCCAGGTGCACCTCACTCTTCTAGCTGCTCCATCTTCACCGGTCGTTTTCCACAATGGCAGTCATAGAAACAAAACAAGCTGGTAAGGTACCAAACAGGAAATACGCATAGTGTAGAGCGGATGTAGATTTGACCAATCAGAGGCCTCCTGTCTGCGGTCACCTACAAGTATGGAGAGGTGCAGCAATCTGTCTGCAGAAGGGGCGGAGCATATCTGCATTAACTTCGACATATGCAGACAACCTGGTTTCTGAGCATAAGTCAGCCTTAACACTTAAGGAGAATTTAGAGAAGCCAATTAACCTAACAGTCATGTTTTTGGACTGTGGGAGGAAGCCGGAGTACCTGGAGAGAACCCATGCATGCTCAGGGAGAACACGCTAACTCCATGCAGAAAGTAAGTTGCCACTCAACATAACGACCATAGGTCATTGACAAACGATCGCCCCGTCTGTCGGTTCAGGACCAGGATGGTACTCCAGGTGTGTTGCATGGTTTTAAGCTCCGCCTCCACAGTTTGGCACCAGGTGTTACTTGGTTTTTCTTGCCTTGCACTTCCTCCAAGTGTCCATTGAAGGTCTGGCCTCTCTTCTCACAGTGCGACCAATCCATCTTCATCTTCTATGGGTGACC